TACCTCCCAGAACATCTCTGACATCTAAAAGAAATGAAATTTCAACACTGGTACATGGTGATATGACTGTATCGGACTATGTCTGAAAGTTCTTGGAGTTGGGTCGGTATTCCCCTGAGAGCATGATGGATGAAAGCAAAAAGGTAAGGAAGTTCGAGTGGGGCCTCCATCCTGAGATCAGACTGTAGTTGTATGTATTCGAGCTCAGTACTTACTCGGCTATTCTAGCAAAGCACAGCTAATAGAGAGAAACCTTTGCATTTTTTCTCTAGCAGTAGGGAACCTCAGGCCCCCAGTTCCACACTGCAGATCAGCAGAATAAGAGACCTAGGCCAATGACTCAGGCTCCTCCTTAGATTTTAACAACAGGACGGGGCAGGACTTGCCAACATTGTGGTAAGGATCATGGGTACCGACCCTGCTATCACATCAATAATACCTACCGCATATGTGAGAATGCCCAACATTACGTGAGGGAGTGCCCGAGGAATCAGAACCGGACCAGACCTCCTATCTAGGGCAGGACTTACAACCTTACTCAGCAGGATACAGAGGGCAACCTATACGTGATACAGAGTACGTACACTATCTATAATTATCTTGCACATGTTTTGATTGATATTGGTGCCTCGCATTTATTTGTCTCACATGCTTTTATATCAAACTTGAATGTATTATCTGAAAAACTTGATTCTGTGTTGTCTGTGTCTACTCTTGGGAGTAGAACACTACTGGGTAAGGTTATACATAGAGCCTGTGTCACAGATATAGCAGATAGGAAATTGAGTGTGGACCTAGTAAAGATTGATACGTGGGACTTTGATGTAATCCTAGAAATGAACTAGCTAGCAGCATATCACGCCACCGTAAATTATTTTCATAAGAAACTTGTATTTAACCCTCCTAATGAGAAGTCATTCACAAATTAATAAAATTGTTTAACATTTGTTCCCTCAGGCCAATTTTTCTATTATCAAGTGCTTTAACCCGGCTATTTTCTCTAACTAGGAAAACCTAATAAAGAAATTTATATTCAAGAAATTCTGGTAGTCCAAGACTTCCCGGATGTA